TCGACGGCCGTCGGTCTCGAAAGGCAGTCGCCCCTCTTTCGCCCCAACATCGATGAGACTAGGCATGGGAGCGCGCGTTTTAAGTCGTCGCCGAAAGCACTCCCCCAACAACTCGCCCAAGGGGTAGACGGCGCGCCGCGACAACGCCGCGAACCCGCCACTCAAGACCAAGCCGCGCACCCGCCGCGCAGCAACGCTGGCCGCCGAAGCGGCCAACGCCATCTCCTCACCAGGAGCGCCGTCTCAAGCGCCGGGCGCAACGCCGAGCGCCGCCGAAACGACGGGCATCGCGCCTGCAGGGCTGTAATCGGCCGGATGGCCGACCACCTGCCAACGGTTCCAATGCGGAGTGTCCCGCAAGTACTCCTCGAGCAGGCGGCTGAAGGCGAGCCGAGCTGACGCCACGCTTGCTGCATTGAGCCACCTGACACACACACACACACACTGCGGACAGAATCATCCCATTGGGCCGAAGCCCAATTGGCCGTTCTGTTCGTCAATATACGGTCTGACGTGAACGCCCTTCTGAGCGCCTTCCACACGTGCAAGTTTTCGCTTCGAACGTGCACGAGTGGAAAAACGCCCGATGCGAGGGCATTGCCGACGCAACGGCAGCCGCCACAACGGCGCGAGACGCGGGCCGCCCGCCGCCCAAACGGCGAGGAACCCACGCACGGCCCCGCCGCCCCGCAGCGCGAGCTCGGAACCGACACGGCTGCAATATATATGCGCAGTGTCGTTGCATGGGCAACGACCGTGCTCCACCCCCGCAAAGTGTCGTCGTCCCTCGTCTGCCTCCTCCTCCCCTTCCTCTTTCTCCTCCTCCTCCTCCTCTTCCTCCTCCCCTTCCTCCTGGCCCACCTCCTCTTTATCCGACATGTCCTGATCCCCCTCCTCCTGGGCCGCCCTCCCCATCCTCCTCCTCCTCCTGCTTCTGCCCCTGCTCTCGGGGAACAGGGACACGCTCGCGCCCCATCAGCTGCGAGTGCTGCTCCTCGCCGTCCTACGGCGCCTCCTCATCGTTTCCTCTCCACATGTCGATGTTCCGCTCTGCCTGCTGCCAGTGTCCTCTCCTCCTCCTTCTCGTCCTCCTCCTCATGTCCCTCCTCCTGCTCCTGCTCCTACTACAGCTACTATTACTCCGACTCCCCCATCTCATCCCCGCCTTCTTCCCGCAACGGCGTTTTGGCCACCCACGGAGATACAGCAGGGGAAACGATGCGGGTTTAGTCGATGCTACGCGAGACTGCACGAAAGATTACCAAGCGTTCGCTTTGGGACTCCGCCAGTTCCACTATGCGCTCATGATCCTCCTGATGAGACGCATCCCTTTCGCTTGTCATCCTGACTCCTTACCCATATCCTTCGTATAGTCATCACATCGATGTTCATCCTACTCATCCCCTCTCTCTACACCTTCATCTTCATAATCAGCATGAGCGTCGTCATTGCTATCATCGTCGTCACCAACATCGTCGCCTCCGCACTCATCATCATGATGGGCAGAATCCTCCTGTTCCTCCTCCTTACTATCATACTCGTCGTTGCCACAATCATCCTCATCATCATTGTCGCCATCATCCTCATCATCATCACCACCACCACCACCACCGTCGTCGTCGTCACCATCCTCGTCGCCGCCCTGTCATCTCCGAATCCTGGGCCGATCCTAGGCGGCACATGACATGCCTGGCCATGCAGCAGAGGCCTAAAGGGAGGAAAGGAGCCGCCGCGGGCGGGGAAAAACGGAAGAGGAGGGAGGGAGGGAGGGAGGGAGGGAGGGGAGGGAGGGAGGGGAGGGAGCGAATGGGGGAGGGAAGGAGGAAGAGGAGGAGGAGGAGGAGGAGGAGGATGAGGATGATGACAAGCCCTGAGGTCAGGGTTCGGCCGCCTGGCCCGCCTCCTCAGATGAGGAGCAAGTACTGGCCGAAGGGGCTCACGTCCTCCGCGCCTGCCGCCCGCAGCCGACCTGCGCGACGAGCTTCTTGAACTCGGCTGCCCTGGCCTCCGCGCACGCCCTCGACTCCACGGAGTCGGCGCTGGCTCGAGCCGCCCGCGGCGACGCACCAGCAGCAGCAGCCTCGGCGTCGTGCTCGAGGTCGCCCAGCGGGGCACGGCGGCCGCCGTCCAGCGCGGCCACGCGGTCGACGAAGGCGCCGCCGTGTCCACGTGAACGCTCGGTGCGGCCCGAGGATCCCAGGGCCCTGGCCAATCGCCGAGGGCTGGGACTCTTTCCCAGGCATGCCCGTGGCGCTGAGGGGGGTACGTGGCAGTCGGCCTTCGCACCGCCCCCTCTGCGGCCGCCTCGGCGCCGCGCCCGCTGCCCTCGAGCGCGGCCGAGGCACTGGCGCCGTCGCGCTCGCCCAGGCTGGGGGCGGCCGCGCCTGGGGCCTGCTGCTCTCGCGCGCCAGCCGCCGCCAGGAGACGGGCGACGCGCTCGGCGAAGCCCAGCGAGCCCAGCGCCGTCGCGGCGTTGCCGTCCAGCGCGTCCGAGGCGCCGCCGGCCGCAGCCGAGCCGCTCGCCGCCCCCGCAGCAGCCGCCTCGGCGTCGTGCTCGGTGTCGCCCAGCGCGCCCTCGAGGTCGACGTCCAGCGCGTGCGAGCCGTCGACGCCCGCCATAAGGCCGCCCGCCGCAGGAGGAGGAGGAGGAGTGGGGGGGGGGGAGGGAGGGAGGGAGGGAGGGAGGGAGGGAGGGAGGAAGAGGAGGGGGGAGGGAGGAGGAGGAGTAGCAGGAGGAGGAGGAGGAGGAGAAACAGAGCAGTCGGCGTTGCGGGCGGCGCCGTCGGACGGCCCCCTGCGGCAGCAGCGGCCGCGTGCGGCACCCGCGCCAGTCGGCGCTCGTCTGGCCTGCACTGCGACTGCCCTAGGCATCGCCCGAATGCACGGGAGGCCGCTGAGGAGACGACGGCCCGAAGGGTGTCATCGTCGTCGCTTTCAACGTCGGTGGTCCAAAGATGGGGTCCTGAGGGATGGGGACAGGAAGGGATCGTGAGCGTCTTTCTATTCGGCGTTTCGACATTGGGCGGAAGGGGGGGAGGGGGGGGTCTGGCTCTGGACCTCTGCTTAGTGCGACTGTTTGCAGCAGTGCGTCCCACGGGGGAGGGACTCCACCTGCTCGAAACAGGCGCCAAAAGCAGCCAAGATCTACTCCTTGGGGAGGGGGAGAGGGGGGGGGGATGCGAGGGCCCGCGCCGACCGGCAAAACAGTGAATAAAGAAACGATCACAAGGGGTCCAAGGGTGGATTTACGTTGTTTCAGGCACCTCGTCCTGAGGAGGAGGAGGAGGAGGAGGAGGAGGAGGAGGAGGAGGCGTGAGATGAGGAGGTGCAGGAGGACGAGGAGGAGGAGGAGGAGGGGCCTCAGGACCCCATCTTTGGACCGCCGACAGCGGCTTCGGGCGCCTCTGGAGGCCCTCGTCGCCACGGGAGGCCGCGGCCCGAGGAGCTGGCCAGGACGGGCCCTTGGAGGGGCTGCGCGCGCCGGCTGTTGAGCCGGTGTCGGTCGGACTACGTCGACGACCGAGGTACGACCGAGGTTCGGATGCGGTAGCGGCTGCAGAATTGCTTTGCCTCAAAGGCGTTCTGTTCGTCGAATCTACCATTAGGTCGGGCATATCCCCCTACAGGCGGATCTTGGGCGAAGAATAAAGCATACTCACCCCCCCCCAGATGGTCGAAAATAATCACATAATCAACCCCATACTGTTTTTTACTAATTGTGACTACTCCTCCTGTAGAGGGACGCGCCCGACTTAACTCTACCAAAAGAGAAAAGCTTTGAACTTCTGCAGGTTCGACAACCATTCGACGTGTTCTTCATACAACTCTGGAGTAAAGTCAATTATGTAAATAATCCCCCTACTCGAGAGGTCGTCTCCCACGAGACTCCGACGGTGGAGCGCCCGAGGAGCCCCTTGGGGCTCCAGGCCAAGCGCCGGGGGGCTACGAACGGTTGGCGGCGAGCACGAGGCGGGCTAGCGCGAGGAGGGAGGGTTCCTCCTAGAAGGTGGGGGACTTCTCAGAAAGCAGGGGGCATTCCTGGAAGGCTTCTTGTGAAGGGGCCCAGGAACACACGAAAAAACAGACACAGATCCCAGGGTTCTCCACATGTTCCATGTATTCTAGATGGTCGTCTCCCCCTCCACTTCCCATATCTTCCACATTTCCGGGGCATCGACGATCATGTGTCTCTGTGTGCCTTTCCCTCCTGATCTTGGAAGCTGGGGAGGGCTTCTGAGAAGCCCCCTGCCTTCGTAGAAGCCCGCCATCTTCTGACAAGGCCGACCCCCCCTTTGGACGCCCAGAACGGATACGGAAAAAATGGGCACAATGCCCAACAACACATGTTGTCCAAAACAGACAGCGGTCATTGTTGGGCAGGCGGCTCCTCGTCTTCAGTGAACAACGTCCGCGGCGGCGCGGACAGCGAGTCCGGCTCAAGATGAACAGAAAATGCTGTTGGGCATCGTACCCCACCTTGCCGTACCAATTCTCGATCGTCTCTATGACAAGGCCGACCCCCCCGCGCCAACGCCCCGGGCCCGCAGAGCGGGAGCCGGCGGCACGCCCGACAACGGGCGGGCCGGCAAGCCGGACCGCAGTCAGCGGCGAGCGGAGGGGGAAGCCTCTTCCCCCTCCTCCTCCCCCTCCTCCCCCTCCTCCTCCTCCTCCTCATCCTCCTACTCCTACTCCTCTCCCTCCTCCTCCTCCTGCTCCTCCTCGTCCTCCTCGTCCTCCTCCTCTCCTCCTCCTCCTCCTCCTCCTCCTCCTCCTACTTCTCTTCCTCTTCCTCTTCCTCCTCCTCCTCCTCCTTCTCTTCCTCTTCCTCTTCCTCCTCCTCCTCCTCCTGCTCCTCATCATCATCCTTCTCCTCCACGTCGGGAAGCGAGAAGGGGCGGGCCTTCCCAGAAGGCTCGGAAGTTCCCCGGCCTTCTGAGTTTTCTGAGACTTCCCCGACAGCACAGAGAACTTCTCAGGAGGCGCAAGGGCTTCCAAGAGGC